AAAAAAGAACAGTATACAGATTAAATTTTTTAAAAGTTGTAATAAACAGTATATATAAAAAATGTTGCCATTTTAACCATTATTAAGTATCATTTAATAGCATTAATTACCTTCACAGTGTTGTCTAAACATCACTATTATAAAACTTTTCATCACTCCAAACAGAAATTACTCATTCAGGGGCACCTGGGTGGCTCAGTCAGTTAAGCATCTGACTTGGCCTTAGGTCATGATCTCATGGATTGGCTCAGTGCTGACAGCTCAGAGCCTGGAGCCAGCTTCCGATTCTGTGTCTCCCTCTCTCTCTGTTCCTCCCTGGCTCATCTGTCTCTCTCTGTCTCAAAAATAAATAAACGTTAAAAATTAAAAAAAAAAAATTTCATTCAGCAATAACCCCCATTCCCTCTTCTCCTAGACTCTGATAACATCTAACCTACTTTCTGTCTCTTCGAATTTGCCTATATTAGATAGAAGTGGAATCATACAATATTTGTCTGTGTCTGGCTTTCACTTAGCATAATGTTTTCAAGGTCTATCCATGTTGTGTCATGTATTAGAATTTCTTTATGTTTTATGGCTGAATAATATTCCTCTGTGCATGTGTATGTCACTGTTTATCCATTTATCTGTTGATGGATACTCAGATTGTTTTCATTTTTTGGCTACTGTGGATAATACTGCAATAAACATTAGTGTACAAGTGTCTGTTTGAGTCCCTGTTTTCAGTTCTTCTGGTTATATGCCCAGAAGTGGAATTGCTGGGTCATATGATAAATTATATATTTAGCTTTTTGAGGAATTGCCAGACTTTTCCCTAGTGGCTGCACCATTTTACATTCCCAACAGCATGAATGAGAGTTCCAGGTTTTCCACAACTTTGTCAAGCTTTGTTATTTTTTTTTTTAAATTTAAAAGACCAACTATTTATTTATTTATTTATTTATTTATTTATTTAAATGTTTATGTATTTTGAAAGAGAGAGAGAGAGAGAGTGAGTATGAGCAGGAAAAGGGCAGAGAGAGGGAGAGAGAGAATCCCAAGCACGTTCTGTGCTGTTAGCACAGAGCTTGATGCAGGCTTAATCCCGTGAATTGTGAGATCATGACCTGAGCTGAAATTAAGAATTGGATACTTAATTGACTTAAAAGGTGCCCCTGTTTTTTTCTGTTATTATTTTTTTTTTTTAACATTTATTTATTTTTGAGAGACAGAGATAGAGCACAAGTCGGGGAGGGGCAGCGAGAGGGACACATAGAATCCGAAGCAGGCTCCAGGCTCCGAGCTGTCAGCACAGAGCCTGATGCAGGGCTTGAACTCACAAACTGTGAGATCATGACCTGAGCCGAAGTCGGAGGCTTAACTGACTGAGCCACCCAGGCGCCCCCCTGCCCTTTTTTTTTAATCATAGCCATCCTAGTAGGTGTGAAGTGACATTTGCAGTGTAAAATTCATATCCATTTTCCTCATGAATGAGGTGACATGATTTCTTAGGATTAAGGACCATTTGAGTTTCTTATACTTGGAACTACCACCTCATGTTTTAACTCCCCAGAGAAGATATTTAGAGATGACATTAAGGAGGTAGACTTCACAGGAGTTGGTGACTAGCTTAATATGAAAAATGTAGATGTGATGTTGCAGGTCATTGGTTTTGACTTGCATTTTGAAATGACTAGTAATGGTGAGTCTCTCTTCATGTGTTTATTGGCTATTTGTGTGTCTTCTGTGGAAAACTGTTCAAGTTCCTTGCTCAACTAAAAAAAAATTTTTGGGGGGCTGCCTGAGTGGCTCAGTTGGCTAAAGCATCCAACTTTGGCGCAGGTCATGATCTTTCCGCTCATGAATTTGAGCCCCGTAATGGGCTCTGTGCTGACAGCTCAGGGCCTGGAGCCTGCTTCAGATTCTGAGTCTCCCTCTCTCTCTGCCCCTGCCCTATTTACACTCTCTCTCAAAAATAAATAAATATTAAAAAAATTTTTAAGCCCCCCGATGCGAGGCTTGAACTCACGAACTGTGAGATCATGACTTGAACAAAAGTTGGATGCTTAACCCACTGGGCCATGAAGGTGCCCTACTCCTTTACTCATTTTTAAGTTGGATGGTTTATCTTTTTGTCGTTAACTTGCAAAAGTTCTTTTTATTTTTATTTTTTTAATTAAAAAAAATTTTTTTTAATGTTTATTTCTGAAACAGAGCTTGAGTGGGGGAGGGGTAGAGAGAAAGGGAGACACAGAATCTGAAGCAGGCTCAAGGCTGTGAGCTGTCAGGACAGAGCCCAACGCAGGGCTTGAACCCACAAACTGTGAGATCATGACCTGAGCTGAAGTTGGTCGCTCAACCAACTGAGCCACCCAGGCGCCCCGTAAAAGTTTTTTATATTCTGAATATTAAACTCATCAGATCTATGATTTGCAATTATTTTCCTGCATTCAGTAGGTTGTCTTTTCATTTTTTTTGGTAGTTTCCTTTGATGCACAAATGTTTTTAATTTTGCAGTACAATTTATCTTTTTCTTTTGTTGCTCACACTTTCGGTCTCAAATCAGAGTCTGTTGCCAAATTTGGGGTTATGAAGATTTACTGCCATGTGTTTTCCTAAGATTTTATTATTTTATCTATTATAATAATCTGTTATTATTTATCTGTTTTATCTGTTATTTTATCTGTTATTTTTTTATCTGTTATCTGTTATTTTATCTGTTAGGTCATTGATTCATTTTGAGTTAAATTTTATAATAGTGTGAAGTGAGAGTTCAGCTTCATTCTTTTGCATGTGGAAATCTAGTTGTTTCAGTACCATTTGTTGAAGAGACTGTTCTTTTCCCATAGAATGGTTTTGGTACCTTTGTCAAAAGTCAGTTGGACACAGACATATGAGTTAATTTCTGGACTCTCAATTCTGTTCCATTGTTTTATATATCCTTGTGCTATTACCATACTTTTATGATTACTGTATCTTTGTAGTGAATTTTCAAATCAGAACGTGTGAATCCAACTTTGTTCTTTTGTACTGATTTTTTTGTCATGGAGCATTTTGATTCCCTTTCTGTTTTCTTTCATATATATATGTATATACATGTACATGTATATATACATATACATACACATATACATACACATGTATATACACATGTATATATACATATACATATATATACACATTTTTTCCCCTTGCTGTTTTAAAATGGACATTATGGGGGCGCCTGGGTGGCTCAGTCGGTTAAGCGGCCGACTTGAGCTCGGAGTCATGATTCCCGCACGTCCTGTGAGTTGCCAGCTGTCGGGCTCCTTGTCTTTGACAAGCCGAGGCCTGAGCCTGTTTGATTCTGTTCTCTCCTAGAGGCCCTCCCGTTCATGCTCTGCACTCTCTCTGTCTCAAAATAGTCAGCTAAAAAAAATTAAAAAAATAAATAAATAAAATTGACATTATGTATTTTGAAAATGCATCAGTTTGCACATGCATAAAATCTCTTTTGTCATTGTAAACTAAGTATTAAGGTAAAAATGTGGAATATAAGAATCAGAGAAAGTAGTTAGACAAACTTGATTACATGATTTCAGATGGAATTAGAATAACAGTGTTTTTCAGCATCCTAGCAAAACATTCAAATGCTCATATAGCTTCATTTTGATGGCTTTTTCTTTTTTTCTTTCTTCCATAACCTTAGAAATGGTTAAAAAAAAAAATAGTCTTGTTGGGGCACCTGGGTTCCTCAGGCTGTTGAACATCCAACTCTTGACTTTGGCTCAGGTCATGGTTTTGTGGTTTGTGGGATCAGGCCCCGTGTGGGGCTCGGTGCTGATGATGTGAAGTCTTCTTGGGATTCTCTTTCTCCGTCTCTTTCTGCCCCTTTTTTGTTTGTGTGCTCACTCTTTCTCTTTCTCTCAAAAATAAATAAACTTAAAAAAATATTTTTGGTGAATTACATTTTTTATTGGAATGGTAGGAAGAGGTGGGCATTATGTATTAGTAATTTTCATGATATGGGGCATTAATACATAAGAATATTTCATTTTATTGATGATGCAGTACTAGTAATTTTTAAAGCTGCAAAATACTCAAGTAGCTGAGATAACTTTGAAAAATAATATATTTGCATTTTTATGAAATAAGGGATTTTTATAATATTAATGAGATTTAGTAACTGAAGTTACTAGCCATTTCCCTTAAAATTTACCAAGTTTACTATTTTGGCTAGTACTTCTAGTAATAGTGTATATTGTGTGAAAAATGTTCCTTCATAAATTTTTTTTTAAGTTTGTTTACTTCTGAGAGAGAGAGAGAGAGAGAGAGCAGGGGAGGGGCAGAAAGAGAGGGAGAGAGAGATTCCCAAGCAGGCTCTGCACTCTCAGCACGGAGCCTGACGTGGTGTTCAAAATCACAAACTGCAAGATCATGACCTGAGTTGAAACCAAGAGTCGGAAGCTTAACCCACTAAGCCACCCAGGTGCCCCAAAAATGTCCTTTTTAAAAAATGTTTATTTATTTGTGTGTGTGAGAGAGACAGAGCTAGCCTGAGTTGGGGGAGGGACAGAGAGAGAGGGGAGAAAAAATTTCAAGCAGACTGTACTGCCAATGCAGAGCTCAGCATGGGCTCAAACTCACGAACTATGAGATCATGACCTGAGCTGAAGCTAAGAGACGCCTCACTGACTCAGCCACCCAGGTGCTCCTGAAAAATGTTCTTAAACTTTGTGTTTATAGTTAACGTTTGTTATATGCTTTTTAAACCTTTTTTGTCAGTTGTAATTGGCCTTAGTTTATATGTTCTGAACTCTTAAATAAATATCATGAACAAATGGATGTTTAGTTTTCTTTCATGTAAAAGAAATATTACTCCAGGCAGCGTAATGGTATTTGGAAGCTCCATGCAATCATTTGGAACCCAGGACCCTTTTGTCTTTCTTTTCCATCATTCACAGCCTGTGGCTTCCATATTCATGGTCACGTTAGCCTCCAGTTTAGCAGCTGGAGTTCCAGTGATCACATCAGTATTCTAGGCTGGAAGAAAGAGCTGGAGTAAAATGGAATACAGGAGAGGTGGTGATCAGTGGAGTGGGAGGAATTATTTCAAGGCAAATTCAAAATATTATGCAATATCATCCATAAATTTTTAATTATGTCTGACTTATAGGGAAGGACCCTCTTTTTTGAAAGTGAATCATCCACATTATTACATTAGTGATAGCAACAATAATTCCTTCTTATACTTTAATACTTAAAATAATCTTCAGAAGTTGGATTGTTAGCCTAAAATCAACAAGAAATTGAATGGGGGTGGGGAAAGGCATGATATTTCATAATTAAGTTAAAAAACTAACCAAAGTGTACGACTGCAGAGCTATCACTTGACCAAAGCATATGTAAGGAAGATACAGGGATTTTAGTTAACCACAGACTCTTTTTTTTTTTTTTTTTTTTTTTTGGCTCACAAACTCTGTCTTAACAGTATGGTGTGTCTGCTGTAATGACAAACATCCATAGGCTGCATTTAAAAAGTATAATATTCTAATTACAGGAAATAATAATCCTTTTATATTTTGTCCTTGTCTTACTAATATCTATAATATTGTGTTCAATCTAACCACTACCTTTGATGAGGAGAACCGGCAAGTTAGAGGATGGAATGGTATACAGAGGAGGGCAGCCAAAATAGTGAACATGTCTTCCATAAGGGAGAAATCTTTTTTGCCTCATTCTTTGCCTTAGTCAGTTTGGGCTGCTGGTAACAGAATACCATAGACTGGCTGGCTTAAACAATAGCATTTTATTTCTCACATTTCTGGATCCTGGGAAGTCTGAGATCAGGGACCATCATGGTTTTGTTCTAGTGAGGTCCCTCTTTCTGCTTTGTAGACCGTTGTCTTCTTGCTATGTCCTCACATGGCCGGGAGAGATCATCTCTCCCTGTCTTTACTTATAAGGATACTAATCCCATTCATGAGGTCTTTGCCCTTATGACCTAATTACCTCCCCATCTCCAAATAACATCATGTTGGGGATTAGGGCTTCAACATATGGATTTTCAGGGGATAGAAACATTTAGTCCATTGCATTTTCCATTGTAGTCCCTCTTTATAGCTAGTGCTTGCTTGGCATGTGGTAAGAAATTGATAATAAGTAGAAGGAGAGAGAATAAACATTTCATTTACTTAACTCATGAACTTAAATTGTTTTTTCTTACAAATAATATTCAAAATATTATGCAATATCATTCATAAATTTAATAATTCATAAATTCATAAATTTAATTTTTAGAGAAGGACCCTCTTTTTTGAAAGCTAATCATCCAGATACATTATTACATCAGTGCTATCAACAATAATTCCTTCTTAATTTTTTTTAAGCAATCTTCACACCCAGCATGGGACTCAAACTCAACCCTGAGATCGAGAGTTGCATGCTCCCCAGACTGAGCCAGCCAGGTGCCCCAGTTTTGCCTACAGTTTTACTCTGCGAAATTGTCTTTAGAATTTATGGTATCATTGTTCTCATTATCATCCTTGCTCTCGTGTAGGTAATCTATGGAAGCTGTTTTGACATTCCTTAAGCATTTTTGCTTGACGTTATAAGCAGAGTAGTGAAACACTGAATAACTATGTAGAAAAGGAAATTAAAACCTTTTGGGTGTTAATCATCTTATGTTTGTGCCTGGAGGCAAATTGTACTTTTTTTTCTTTAGAAATTTGGCATCTTTTATAGGAGAAGGGGTTACAACTTTTGTGCAGATTAATCCCTTTACCTTTGTGCTTAGAGATCAATGTATACTTTTTTTTTTTTCAGAAATAATCTTTTACATTTGTCATATGTATATATTTATGGTAATGAAGATTTTTAAATTAAAAGGTTTAATTTTAAGGTATACTTTTAGGTGGACGATGAAGATTTACAAGATGAACCTCTACAGATCACAGTTCTTGACCATGACACATACAGTGCAAATGATGCCATTGGTAAAGTGTACATTGATATTGACCCTTTACTCTACAGTGAAGCTGCAACAGTCATCTCAGGGTGGTTTCCAATTTATGATACCATACATGGTAAGGAGTATATTTTAAGAAAATAAATCATAGTTTTTAAAATTTATCCTTAAACACTTTTGTGCTACACGTGGTGGTTTTAAAATATCTTTAAAAGATGTTTTCTTTTTAATAGTCATAAAGTATTATTGGTAGAATTGTTATTTTTCTGAACATAATTTTAAGTAATTCCTTCTAAATATATGCAGTGTAGTAAGTTAATGCATTATTTAAAAATCGTCTAACATTGGTACTGTGTTTCTGAAACATTTTCAAGTGGATAATGTTGATATTTTTCTGCTTAAAAATTCTTCAAGTTTTTTGTTGCCTAAAGCAGGGTTCTCAAAGTGTGGTCTGGGGACACCTAGGGGTCCCTGCACAGGTTCTATGAGGGAGATGAGAAGTTTTAATATGATACTTACATGTCATTTGCCATTTTTATTCTCACTTTCTTACAAGTGTACAGTGGAGTTTTCTAGAGGTTTTATGATGTATGGTGTTACCACACATTGAATGCAGAGCAGAAATGAGAATCTAACTGTATTCTATTAAGCTAGACATTATAGAAAATTACAAAAATGTAACAGTGCTATTTTACTAATTTTTTTTGGTTTTCAAAATAGTTATTTTTATAAAAATGTTTATAGTAATATTTTAAAAAATTCTCAGCTTTAGTTTTAATTTTCATTCTAAATTTTAATTTTAATTATAACATGGTAAATGTTGATACATGACCCATGTAAACAAAATCTCTTTGAGGTCTTCGATAATTTCTAAGATTGTAAAAGTGGTCCTGTCATTAAAACATTTGAGAACTGCCAGCCTGCAAATATACCGTTCTTTTAGAATGACAGATGGACCCGTAAAGAGCTGGCAGATGTTTCTGTCTACAGTCTAACATCTTTCTGCCTGTTTTACATTTTTGACCTGGCAATTCCATTGATAGTAGTTTCTTATAAGAAAATTAAGATGTTTGCTGAGATTTATGTAAGAGTATGTTTATTGTGATACTTAGATCCTATTATTATTTATTAATGTTTACAATGGTAAAATGTATTGGAAAAGAGGATTTACTTAAATAAATTAGAGCATATATAGACCATGAATTATACAGCCAGAACGAACTGCGTGTTTTAAGAATACAATGGCATAAGGAAATAAAAGGATTTGTGAAATTGTAAAATTTTATAGAATTCAGATTATAAAACATTATTATAGGATGATTCCATATTTGTTTAAAAACAAAAGAATTGCATATATGTGATATCATTGGATAAATTGGCAGAATACATAATAAAATGTTTATTCTTGGATAGTTTTATTTCTGGACTGTAATCCTATTTTTCTTCTTTTCCTCTTTTGCTTTTTTCTATGTAAATGTATTATCTTTGTAGTTAGGAAATAAAATCCAATCCCATAGTAAATTACCAATAAAACAATTGGTATTAATTGGAATTAATCTGGTTATTAATTGGTATTAACAATTGGAATTAATCTGGGCTTGCATTAAAGGCATGGCAGTATGAATGAATGAATTTTCTAAATATTTTATATTAAATACTGTTTATAATTGGTTTAGTATGTTTATGGACCCTTTGTTAGGAACATAATCTCTTATTATTATTTCAGTGGGTAAATGAGCAAGTCACTCTTAGAAGGCCTTCCTCAATAAGTATGAATTTGACATGAAGTCAGGACAGTCCAGTAAAAATATTTAGTGAATGTTAAGAGATAGAGACTGGGTCATTTTTATTTATTAGGTCATGTTGAAAACCCTTATTTTTGGAATTTCTTAGCTCATTTTAACTTACTACATTCATTGAAAAGAATTAAACTTCTTTTGTGTTAAATCAGATTCTTCCATTAGTTGTTAAGACCACTTACTCTGGGATCATAAAGATCTGACTTCTAATCCTGGCTGTACTACTTAACTAGTTACTGACACTATGCAAATTATTTAACTTTTATTAAACTTTAATGTCTTCCTCTGTAACATGAAGATGATAGTACTACGGAAATTGCCTTACTGGGTTGGTGTGAGCACTTTGAGATACTACTTATAAAGCATTTAGAATGTTATCCATGCTCACTTGTTACCGTCATCATCATCATCATCATCATCATCGCTGTCATCACTTTAAATGGGGCTCCTTTCCAGTTACACTTGATTCAAATAAGTAGAGACTTGTAATAGAAATGAAAATTCTATTCATTCTTTAGTGTATACATGTTCTTCAGAAAATGTAATAAATTACTTACAATGAACATAATTAGGAAACAAAGCATTGCTATTATGATTGATATGTTATTTTTTTAAATTTTTTTTTAAGTTTATCTATTTATTTTGAAAGAGAGAGAGAGAACAAGTGGGGACAGACAGAGAGATAAGGAGACAGAGGATCTGAAGTAGGCTCTGTACTGACAGTAGAGAGCCCAATGTGGGACTCAAACACAGGAACTAGGAGATTGTAAACTGAGCTGAAGTCGGACCCCAACTGACTAAGCCACCCAGGCACCCTGATTAATACATTATCTTTAAATCATCAGTTGGCATTCATTTGCTGGATTATTTAATTGTGCTTTATTTTGTTAACGTAGAAACTTGATTTCCTTTTGAAATTCTAGGTATCCGTGGGGAAATCAATGTAGTTGTAAAAGTAGACCTCTTCAATGATTTAAATCGATTTAGGCAGTCATCATGTGGAGTCAAATTCTTTTGCAGTAAGTAAACACATTTTATTTCTCATTTAACAGGAAACTTAATTTTTAAATATAGGAAATCAAATATTTCATAAAGCTAATGGAAAACCTATAATATTTGGTTTTAATGCCAAAGAGAAAATTATTAATCTCTTAGAAACAATTATTGTAGCTCTGGGGACTATTTATCTGATTTTAAAGTAAATGCAACCTTTTTTTTTTTTTGAGTTCATAGAAATTTTTGTTAGAATGGTCCAGTGGGGCATGAGGTATGCTTGGTTATCATGCCTACGAGGTCAGAGGAGTTTGTGAGGCAGCAGGAAGGAGATCACTCTTCCTGACCCTACTCTAGCTTGTACTCCAGCCTCTACTCCAGACTCTGGAAGGAATCACATTAAACATTGCTGGTAACAGTTGCTTAATGCCAGTAGAAAGAGTGACTGGTGAAGATTTTGGATTCTTTCCAGAATTTTAAATAACAATCCATATATTAATGAAACAACTTAATCTTGTTTACTTAAATCTTATGTTAATAAATATTGGGTCCAAAGGTGGAGAATTGATTGCTAAAGCACCACATAATAATACAACTCTGAAATATCTAAGAATGACTAGAAACAAGTTTGAAAATACAGGTAGAATGTTTTTTTTCAGGAATGCTACAAATTAATTCATCCTTAGAGAAGTGATATCCTAGTGACTGTGGTCTGGAAATGCAAAATGTGCTAGCATTTGCTACAGTCCTACCTGAAAACCAAACAACTAAGGGAATAAGCCTACACCTGCCTATACTGTATGGTGAACAGGAAGAGTCCACAGTTCATCTAGGCCACCTATTGAAAGAAAATCACTGCCTTGCTGAACTGCTTATGTGTAAGCATGATATTATAAAACAGGTGATTCTGTATCTGAATAGTAGCATATGCTACCTTGATGTCAGCTGATTGTCAGTAGTCAGCAGCAACATAAGGGGAGATGGACTTGTACTTTCACAATCAATGAAAAAAAATCCCACACTCTCATATCTACATTTGGGGAAACAAATTTGATGAGGCTACATGTGTGACATAATTAGATTTATGCGGAATGGGCTAAAATTAGATAATAGAGATATGGAGCCATTTGTGGTGGGTGGACATGTGTATTTTGAAGACTCCAGTGGCCTTGCCAAGCATTATTATTGGACACAAACTTATGGAGAAGCTTGCAGCCACTCATCTAATGCAAATTTTACTCTTGTCTAGTAGGGCAACCTCTGAAAAACAAGCTTTGAAATAATTTTCACATATCTTCATTATTTTCACAGAGATGAATATTTTACTGCTTATTAAATTTTTCTTTTATGAATTAGAACAAGTTGCTCTTGTCAAATGTGAAAAAGATATGACTGACTATAATGAACTATATATAACTGTCAAAAGGAAAAGAAAAATCCATTGTTATTTTACTGTAGTATAAGACAATGTAAGATAGGAGCAAAGCACTCTAGCCAAACCTTGTGGTGCTATCCAAAATTCAATAGGCATCTACAGTTACAGTCCCTCAAGTGCCACGTAGTATGGGCTGGCATTGGCAGATGTGGGCAGTCACAACCAGCCTCGATTCATAGGATTGAAAACTCCTAAGTAGTTGAGTTAGCTTTAAGGCATGGATGATATCCATTTTAAGAGACTAGTTCGGTGTAGATGTTCTCAGGTTTTCCCCCTGCCCCCCCCCCTTTTTGTTGTTGTTGTTTTTGTTTGTTGGTTTTAGGTTCTCCCCTTTTTGAATCTGACTAGATCTTATTTTAAATCTAATGACATTTGAAATTCTATATATTAAATGAGTTTATGTAGTATAGACTGCCGAACCAGTTGGCCACATGGCCATGGATTATTGGAAACTGCAGGGCTTTATGACTCCTCAGATTGTCAGAAAGGTAATAGTTTGATTTTTGAGGCTGCAATATGTGTTGTACAGAACTTTTTCAAAGTACTTTGAATAAAGTGTTTTGTATTCATTATCACTTTCTGCCTATTTTTTTAATGATTAACCAGATGACTTTAATTTTGGTTTTTTAAACTTTGTATTGAATGCTGTTTAAGGTTGTCTATAGCTGTTTTCTAAATTATAAAAATACGATTTGTTTCTACTGTGTTTGCTGTAAGAAAGATGAGAGGTCTCATTAAAGAAAATGATTATTTCTAAGAATAATATGGAACTTAGAAGACTGATTGGAAGTATAACTATTATAATTACATTGAAATTAGCACAGTAAAAGGCATTCTTGTATTATATATTCAAAAGGTAAGAACTTAGTTGTAAATTTTTTTAAATTGAATTTAATCTTGTGATAAATAGAACCATAACAGGTAATTTCTTTTAACAGCAACATCTATTCCAAGGTGCTATAGAGCTGTAATAATTCATGGGTTTGTAGAAGAGCTTGTAGTCAATGAAGACCCAGAATATCAATGGATTGATCGAATTCGTACACCAAGGGCATCAAATGAGGCCAGACAGAGACTCATTTCTTTAATGTCAGGTATTTAAAAAAACAAAAACAAAAACAAACTTTCTTACTGATTTACTTAACACTGTTACAATTTTTACTTCCTTTTGACATGCTACCTGAAAGTTAACAGTGAGGGCTATGAATTATGAATGACTGATTCCCTACCCTTGGCCCCATCTTCCTGAACATACCTGCATTGCCATTTTATAAGAGGAAGTCTGAACCAGAAGCTTGTATTTCCTTCTTAACTAGGTAGACAAAGGAATTTGTGCTCATAAAGTGGCCTGGTAGAAAGAACCCTGAGCAAGGAAGTAGGGAACTGGGTTCTAGTTTTCCTTCCTCTAGTATTTCTTTGTAGTCAGAGTTTAGGTAATCTGTCTAGAGTTTTTTGTTGCCTTTTCATAGTCCTTCTCTGACATCTTGGTGTAGCTCCCTGTATTTTTCCCTGACACTCTTACCCCATTATGTTTCTTTATTTTTCTTTGAAGAACTTGTTTACCATTTAAAATTTGTATGTATATGTAAATTTACATGTATATAAATTTACATATATATCCGACAATAAGTATAAATATTATGTTTAATAAATATAAATATTTTATACTTACACATAATAAATTTGTTTTAAATATAAATTATAAACACCTTTATATTACATTAATATTACATATTAATGAATATACCAAACAATATTTATGAATCAGTATAAATATATTTATACCTAATATATAATGTTATAGTTACTATATTAAATAATATATCTTTTTTGTTCACCTCTGTGTTTCTAGCACTTAGAAGAAAGGAAGAATGCCAGGCACATAGTACACAACCAAAAATTATTTGGTAAATGAATGCATGAATGAGTGAATCTTAACTTGCCGCATCTGTAAAGTGCAACTAGTAATATCTTACCTCCCTGAAATGTAGGAGGCTGGAGCAGATAATCTTTTAGGTTCTTTTCAAGTTCTAAAAATCTGTGATTTTTTTCCAAGTCTTTTTTTATTGCTACCATATCCAGTCTTGTATCATGTAATGTCAAGATCTGAAGCAGAATGAGTTTTCTTCCTTTTTTTGTAGGTGAACTGCAGAGGAAGATTGGCTTGAAAGTACTTGAAATGAGAGGAAATGCAGTTGTTGGGTACTTACAATGTTTTGATCTGGAAGGCGAATCTGGGTTAGTGGTACGCGCCATAGGAACAGCATGTACACTGGATAAACTAAGTAGCCCGGCAGCATTCCTTCCTGCATGTAATTCCCCATCCAAAGAAATGAAGGAGTAAGTATGAATCAATGAATTGTTCTTATGGAGCTTTTTATCTTTTACCTATATGCTTTCATTTGATTTGAAATATTCTAGTAGACTTGTTTAACATACATTTTTCCCTGTGGTGATTGTTTTTTCCTTTGGTGATTTTTATTAAAGGTGACATGAAAATCTGAAGGTTAAAAGTATTTAGGTGTTCCTGATATTTTATTTATACTGTCTTAATATGAAATTCAAGTTAAGTAATGTAAAACTAAACTGAGTATTTCAGATCTTTAGACACTGTATATTTAAAGCTTAAAATGGGTATTTATGGAATTTTTACTTACTCTCTGGGAAATGCTTAAAACCCAGTACTATACTTGATAATCTTACTATGCTTATTAGCAACATAGTATAGAAAGAAGAAGTATAGCAGGAAAGGTTGGCCTTGTGTAGGGGTCTCAGATGTAAATGTCTACAGAGACCAGATAGTTTATATATATATAAATAATTGAGTGTAATTAAATAGGGAGTACAGAGGACTGTGTAAAGCCCATGGTGACACTTTTTTTCTGTAAAAGGCTGGATAGGAAATATTTCATGCACTAGCCATACAGTTTCTGTCTTTGTTTATCAGAAAAAAAAGGAGTTTGTTGATTTTGATCTAAAGGAATTTAGACTCAATATTTTTAAAAAACTAAGCGTGATTCAACAAAATACTTTGGTTGGCTGGATTTGGCTTATGTGTTGTCATTTGTGTCTAAGGCAGAAGATTTTCAATATGGTGGTGATCTACAAGGAATTTTTATTTTTTATTCATTATTTTTTAAGTTTTTTAAAAATGTTTTTTAAATTTATTTTTGAGAGAGAAAGAGACAGCGTGCAAGCAGAGGAGGGGCAGGGAGAGAGGGAGGCACAGAATCTGAACCAGGCTCCAAGCTCTGAGCTCTCAACTCAGAACATAGATGACTGATGGGGTCTGAACTGAAACTACGAATCATGACCTGAACCAAAGTCAGATGCTTAACTGACTGAGCCACCCAGGTGCCCTAAAAGTTTCTTTAAAAATTTTTTTTCTTAGTGTTTGTTTATTTTTGAGACAGAGACAGAGCATGAGCAGGGAAGGGGCAGAGAGAGAGGGAGACACAGAATCAGAAGCAGGCCCCAGGCTCCAAGCCGTCAGCACAGAGCCTGACGTGGGGCTCGAACTCAACTGCAAGACCATGACCTGAGCCGAAGTCAGACGCTCAACCGACTGAGCCGCCCAAACGCCCCTAAAAGTTTCTTTTTAAAATTTATTTATTTATTTTGAGAGAGACAGAGACAGCATGAGTGGGGGAGGGGCAAAGAGGGAGGGAGAGAGAGAACCTCAAGCAGGCTCTGCACTGCAGTGAGATCATGACCTGAGCCAAAACCAAGAGTCAGATAGATGCTTAACCGGCTGAGCCACCAGGTGACCCTGGGAATTTTTAAAATGAAAGTTTTCGGTTCACCTGGGTGGCTCAGTTAAGCATCCAACTTCAGCTCAGGTCATGATCTCATAGTTGGTGAGTTTGAGCCCTGCATCATGCTTTGTGCTGACAGCTCAGAGCCTGGAGCCTGCTTTGGATTCTGTGTCTCCTTCTCTCTCAGCCCCTTACAGGCTCATGCTCTGTTTCTTTCTCATTCAAAAATAAATAAACATTAAAGAAATTTTTTTTAAATGAAATTTTTCTGTCATAATGATTGGGATGAGGAGGACGATCATGGCTGAGGACTAGAAATGGTGACTGTCCTACACACCAAGGGACAACTCTGTACAATGAAGACTTGTTCTTTTTTTTTTTTTTTTTTTTAAGTTTATTTAGAGAGAGAGAGAGCAAGCAGGGGTGTCGTGGGGGAAGGAAGAGAGGGAGGGAGACAGAATCCCAAGCAGGCTCTGTACTGTCAGCACAGAGCCCTGTGCAGGGCTTGAACTCATGAGATCATTACCTGAGCTGAAGTCATGAATCGGATGCCTAACCAACTGAACTGTTGGCGCACCTGGACTTGTTCTATCCTAAATGCCAACAGTACTTCCATTGAGAATCACTGATTTAGAGATTCTTGTAGATTAAGGATCACAAATTTTTCTTGGTAAATGACCAGAAGGTACAGGTAAATAATTTAGTCTTTGCTAAAATAACTACTCAACTTTGCTATTGTAGCATGAAAACAGCCATTGACAGTATGCAAATGAGTGAGTGTGGTTGTGTTCCAATAAAACTTGATTATTTACAGAACAGATTGCAGATTATTTACAGAACAGACCTGTAAGGTATGATTTGCTGACCCCTGCCCTATATTATCAGGGAGTCAGGATGGATTCTGTAGTCAGAAAAATCGAAATGCTTCCCAGTTTAGCAGTAGTCAAGAGAGGTTGACTAGAAAACAATTACAATCTTTTTTTTTTCAATTTAATTTTAGTTCCAGTATCATTAACATACAGTGTTATATTAGTTTCAGGTGTACAATATGGTGATTCAACTTTTCATTTATTTTTAATTTTTTTTTAACATTTATTTATTTTTGAGACACAGAGAGAGACAGAATGTGAGCCGGGGAGGGGCAAAGAGAGAGGGAGACACAGGATCAGAAGCAGGCTCCAGGCTCTGAGCTGTCAGCACAGAGCCCCACATGGGGCCCAAACCCAGGAACTGTGAGATTATGACCTGAGCCAAAGGCGGACGCTCAACTGACTGAGCCACCCTGATTCAACTTGTTTTTTAAGCAATATTTTTAAAAATGAGATTTTCCTTTTAGGCTTATTCTTTTTGTTTAATTATTTCCCTTCTGGTAGCCTTCAGTTATTTAGATTAAATTTTAGTCACAAGAGGGTGCATAGTATTCTATCTATTGCCTAATTTTTTGGGGAAATCCCTTGACAAGTGAAATAATTGTTTAAAGAAAGCCACTTATATTTTTAATGTTTATTTTTGACAGAGAAAGAGACAGAGCAAGCGAGTGAGCAGGGGATAGGCAGAGAGAGTGGGAGATACAGAATCTGAAGCAAGGTCCAGGCTCCATGCTGTCAGCACAGAGCCTGATGTGGGGCTCAGACTCACGAACCCTGAGATCATGACCTGAGCCGAAGTCGGATGTTTAACCTACTGAGCCACCGAGGCGCCCCTGTGAAATAATTGTTTTAAATAAACTGAAGAGTGAATTTGCTTTATATTCCATTTAAGATATGTCTTAGAAAGATATGAACTGCCTGCTACCACAGGTAAAGTCAAATTGCAGGTGTAACTTTTTGAGGGATTCAGGTTTTATTTTCATTTTCCACACCAAATTAAAGACCTGGGCCCCTCCTTCTCTTGCCACCCTCCAGCTTTATCTAAGTTGCCTGAAGGGGCCTGGCTTTGTAGCTGTGATGTCTGAAGTTTTCCTCTTTCCACTAAATTACTTAGTGGAAAGAATGCTGTATTATCTGTTGGTGTCTTAGGATGATATATTGATAGTAATGGAGTACTTTTTGCCTACATTCAGGAATAGTTCCATTAATGTAAGTCTTCTGGGATTGTGTAAGTGTTCTTATTTTCTAATTTTGTTGTAGCCATCTGCCTTAAATTGTCAAATATTCACACCATGAAGAATTTAAGTTGCTTCATTAAGATTTTCTGAAAGGCATCTTACTACCACAGTCATGCTGTTTAAAAAAAAAACAAAACTAACTACTACTCAGGCTTCTTTATTTTAGCCACCTTCTTTGTATTTTTGATAATCAATTTGGGTGCTAGTTTAAATTGTTTTATGATTCAACTGATTGTAATAATTATAGATGTTTAATTATAACTGATTCTAGATAAGAATTTGATAAAAGGTAGTTTGGATTATATTCCTGTCTGAATGGATTTATTATTAGAAATGTCACTGAGGTATTATTGCAAGATAATCTTTCATACAAGGAGACTGATAAGAATTAGAACTCCAAGAATACAGATGGTATTTGGGATTTTAATTAGATGTCATACATTGAAACTTTTACAATGTTCATTTTATTTTATTCATTTTATTTTACCTTTATTAATGGTGTGTTCTACTTCATTGGTTTATTTTTTTCCTTTCAGATGGTTAGTGAATGCATAATGTAAATCTCTTTGATATGTCCTTGCTGAAGTATTTTGATGATAGAAAGTGCATTTAAATACAATTTACTGCTTCTCTACTTACAAAAAAAGTACTTTCTAAGAGATATTAATTGTAATTTCTCCTCTGTACATCCCTGATTCTTAGAATTTTTAACTTCATTAGTCACTTCAACAGAGAAAGAAAAAGCAAATAAAACCTTACTCAGTTGTTTGTATACACATAGGTCACCAATGAGATGTTTGATTTTTATCAGTTGTATTAAACACATTTTTAACTTAAACTAGTAACAAAAACAGAAACCTTGTTCTATTGTAAAATCAGTGATGTTTTCAGAAAGTAGTCCGTAGACTATGTGAAAGACGTATTGTTGCCCATTAATGATAGCTCATGTTTGAACCTTGACAGACTGTGATTGTTGGGAATGTTCACTGGCCAGTAAAAAAGAAAAGGCCAGGAAGAGTTGAGCTCTTGATCTGCTTTTAATTTGAATTCTAAAAAATGAGGATATATTTTTAGAGTATATTCACATTTGATTCTTTTTCCCTCATGCATGAGTGAAGGCAGTACGTAGTGAAATAATTGCTAATATGAAGTATAGGATTCTTAGTTTAATATGCCATTCCTACCATTCAACGTAACTGTGCCCTTTTAGCAAAATTTCCTCATGAAAATGTAAATATTATATGTGAATATGTATCTGTGTATGTGAGCTAAATATATCTATACATACATATAGATATGATCTTGCAGGATGTCGTTGATATCTTACAAAATTTCAATTCAGAATGTAGTTTAATAAATTCTGTTTAAATTTAAATAATATATTCTGTTTGACAGCTAGATAAAAATTATCTATATTGTTTTATTAATGTGTTTTGAAAAGCAATGTCCCCTTGCTTTGTTTTTTTTCCCAGTGTAACCTGTTTTTTAAGCAATATACTTGGTGTGCTAAAATACTGGAATGTTTACATTTGCTTATATCCATTTCATTCATTTTTCTTTGTGCTGTCATTTCTCATATTCTTAAGTACCATTATTACAGAAACAGTTCTGTTAAATTTTCTTTATGGAAAAATATAATTAATTACATCCATTCAATTTCAGAAGTAACATAAGAACTTTATATTTGACTTTTCACTTTTATGGGTGTTTTGTCCCTAAAATACTGTGTAGTAAGTAAGCTTTATGGTGATGAAAACATTTTAAACATCTTAAAATACAAATCTTAGTCTTTTTTTTATTTAATGCCACTATTTCTGCTTGCTATTTTTCTTATTCACAGTCCTAATTATTATTATTAATCTGATCATTTAAAACTATAACTGTATCCTGTCAAGTTAGTATTTAGCTATTCTTTTTAAATTTTGACTTGTTTTTTGCATGTTGGAGATTAAAAATTCCTCTCCCTTAACTAAAGCTCCTTTGAAATTATTTTAACATAACTTTGCTATCTGTTGTATGTATTGTTTTCTTTTCTTCCGCTTTGACTACAAATTCCCTCAGGTCTCCGCTGGTTCATCCTCCAAGCCATGGATGCCGCTCGACTCACAACAGCCCAATTCACACTGCTACTGGCTCACGACTTACTCAGAACTTCTCTGTGTCTGTTCCCACTCTCATCTATACTGGTACGAGACTGCTCAGACTCCAGAGCTGGGGAAGGCAGGCCACAGGCAGCATGGCTGCCAAGGGCAGGCAGGCAGGCAGGTAGGCAGGTAGCTTAGGTTAGGCAGGTACCATCAGTCTTTTCCTTCTCCTCCTTTTCTCACTTGAAGTCCAGCTGCAGTGAAGAAATCCAGTATTTAGCCACCGCAGAGGTTCTAACTACTTGGAAGTGAAAGTGTTCTTCTAGCTTCCAAAGTCTCTTCCATAGATCCTCTAAGAACCCTATTGTGTGTATGTATCCTGTAAGTTTTTAGGGCAGTCCTCTAGGATTTGCCATTATTTCTGCATTTGGTTAGAAATAAAATTGATTACTAGATTCTATATGAAATAGCTGGCAAGGCTTCTGATTTGCTTATTTTATTATGTATAAAACCTGTTACATAGTAGGGTCTGTTTTATTCTGTGGAAGAGAGCTTTGGAAAACAGGTAAGCAACTATTCTGTGTAAAATACAATGGTTCTGTGTAGCTGTATTCATTTTTCTCTCTGTTGTGTTTTTAGCTGTGGCACTCTTGATGCTATAGGATAAGGAAACATTTTTCTTTTGAAGATATCAGTGTGTGCAAATATAAAAACAATTGTGAATATTTGCACATACCATTTGCAGCATCATTTTTTCTTTTGTAACTTAAAAAAAGCATTGTTTATTTGAAAGTATTTTCAGTCATGTATTTATTCTTTTTGTTTATTTCTCCTTTTAATATTTTTTACCCCTTTAGTCTGTCATCTCATGCTTCTTTGCTTTTTTACTTGGCTTATTAACTGTTCCAGTGCAGATGATTATTTCTCTGGAGAATGATGAATGGTTAAATAGCAATTGGTTGTCTTTGACCTCATACCCAGCTCCACACTTAAGAAATGACTGCTGGCCCTGCCCAATACTTTCCTGGTGTTTGGATCATGCTGCCTTCCGTCACGTCCTTTGGCACATGATTGCTTAATATTTCTCCACCTTCTTCTGGCAGGATTCCCTTCAATGAAGATCCCAATCCCAATACTCACTCATCAGGACCCTCAACCCCTCTGAAAAACCAAACTTATTCCTTTTCACCTTCCAAGTCCTACAGTCGACAGTCCTCTTCTTCTGACACAGATTTGAGTTTGACACCCAAAACTGGTAAGGCGCTTCCACCCACCTTTTTCTTTTTCTTTTATTTTTTTCAAATTTGTTTCTGTTCTTTATTAGCTTTCCATCCAAGGCTTTCCTCCTGTTTTTGGCATTTAAGTTAAAGGACAATGTGAATACTGATCATTTTCAGTTACCACCATTAAAATATGAAAATTTCATATAGTTCAGAAATTAGCTTGTTCAAAGATCTGCATTTATTGATTTAATCATAGTGTAGATACGAAGTTCAGAATTTATTTTTGCATGTAGACGTTTTTCATTTCATGCTCATATTGTGAGGAATAACATTCTAAAGCTTTTGCGTAGAAAGTAACACTAGTAGCTTGCAATCCAGTTCCTCATGCAGTAGAAGCATTTTTGAATTCATTTTTCTGTTTTTCTGAACTTAATTCTAAGATTTTATTATGAAAACATTTTTGGAACAATTGAAATGGTTATATTGGAGTACATATATCTATTAACTTCTTGTTATTTAAAATGTTTGGTTTTGCTACTCTTACTCTCTAGGTTAGAAAATAGCATTTTTGCTTTACTTACTCTTACATATTTCTCAATGTATGAAGTTTATAATTTTTCCCCCTACTATTTGTATTTTGATAAATAATTTCTGTGAGTTTTTATGAATGTTTTCTGATAAAAGATTGTTTAAAAAGTCAAATTATTACATTACTTCTTAAAGTAGAGTTATTCAAATCTTTAAAACAGTATTGTTAAGAAAAGTAAAATACAAAAATCAAAAGGTTAGTAGTTAGCAATTTTTGTAAATACTATCTTTGTCTTACAGTTTTCTCTCCAGATTGATGAAGACATTTTGTATAGTTCTTGTGTTGTTTTTATCAGTGTTAATAACCTTTTGTGTGTTAGGCAAGAGATTTATGAAATGATCCCAGATTTTATGAAAACAGTGAAAAGCAATCCAATTCCAAAACCAATGCTACTTATAAAGAAAGGGCATTAAAAAGAAAGCCTGTAGATTTAGTATCTACTTTTATAAATGTAGTCACAAAATGTGAGGAAGATAAATATGAATACCTAATTATTTGAAAAGAATAGCTTTATTTTTATATACGTAATATGAATAACATCTAAAAATCTTGAGATACTTTATAGTAATTGATGCTGTGGATTGTGGCATCTTAACCATATTTATGCCGTAAAAACTGAACCATTCAAACTTAAGTGAAAATTTTTTATTTTTAAATAAAGGATGAGATTCAGGCCTTCAAATTCATGCCTATCAAAACAAGGAGATTTAGATAGTATTTGAAGAATAAGTTTTCCTAAAAACGTTTTTCAGGCTTTGACTGCTGGCTATTTGCATATTCCTTGTTACTTTTTCAGTATTCTTGTTTTCATTTTTCTTTGCCATACCACAAATGAATTTTTTTTAATGTTTATTTTTGAGAGAGAGCGCTAGTGGGGGAGGGGCAGAGAGAGAAGGGACAGAGGATCTGAAACAAGCAGGCTCTCTGCTGCCGCCAACGGCAGCCAGCCGGATGTGGCCTCAAACTCAGGAACCATGAGATCAAGACTTGAGTTTGAGTCGGACTCTCAACAGGCTGAGCCACCCAGGTGCCCCCCCCAGATAAATTTTTGAAAATATTTTCTTGGTCTTTCTGTTTCCTTTTCTTTAATTCACCGAAAAGTCCAAGTATGAAAAGATTATGAAGTAAGAAATTAACTGAATCAGATTCTCTTAGCTTTCTCTTAGGCAATTGTATTATCAATGAAAACTTTATTGCATTTTATTTTCTAGCTCCAAAGCTTTAGTTTTTAAAGATTTATGTATAATAGTTATTATTCTCATATATGTCTATATTCATCAGCTGCCTCTAAATAAATTATTTTGTTTTGCTACTATCATATGCTATTCACTATTTTTAGTAGCATACTTATAGAACATTAGCAATTTTTAGTCTTTTGGCTTTATCATGAGTCCCTAAATATCTTTGAATATTCCTGAGGGCCGTTCCAGAGGAGATCTGAAATGGCAAAATTATGATTGTTTTAAAACTTCTAAAACTATAATTGAGCATGTATTTCATGTTTCTCTGCCTTCAAATTTACCTATATACAAAATCAGTCTCTTGAGAAATAGTGGAGATAAGGTGACTAGGATTGATTTATGTAAACTGGGGAGCCAGAAATAGAATAAGTTAATAAAGCTTTAGACTGAGAAAGTTGTTTTTCTATTTGTAGTTAAAGCTATCATCTATTTTTCATGTAGGTATCATTTAAAAAAATTCATACTGATTTATTTCTATAGTTTCTAATTTTTGACATTTTACCAGGTTTTATTTTCATATTTTTTCCCAAGTACTCAACCAGTAGGAATGGAATTTTAGAATACTAGTGTTAAGATATTGATTTGACAGCTGACTCAAGCTAATTTTTTACTTTAAAAAAAAAATCAGGCTTTTAACCATTTGTAGTTTTTGTAATCTAGAGAGTATTTGCACCTTAGGTATGAAAGTCTTTGTAAATGCAGTGTTATGATCAGACTTTAGCATTTAAAATTTAGAGGAAAAAGAAAAGTAGTAACATATATCTCAAATCTGGATAGAAAGAAGCTAATGTCTATATTTTTTTAATTAATGATGGCAACTGTTTAATGTGGTCATTTGCTTTTTTTATGGGTATTCAATTAAAATACTCATAAGTGATATATTTTAGTAACATTTGAAGAACTGAACTTTGCCATTTTAAATGATGTTTGTATTTGAGGCAACAAGTTTCTGGCTTTAAAAATTTATGAAGTGCACATTTTAACTTTATGCATTCTTAAGCAAAAAAAAAAAGGGCAGGTAATTTAAGTGTTTTTGAGAAATCATCTCAAAGTGATTAGAATGGCATAAAATTCTAATTTAAATCCTGATTTAAAAAATTTTAATGAATGTGGAGTTTGTAAAAGTTTTGCTAAGTTTTAGACTATGCCTTTTATTTATATTATGTTGGGTAGATGGTCTTGCTAATGACTTCCTATGCTTAGTGTAATTTATGTAAGCATTTTAAAATTCATTTTTACTGTTATGTTTTGCTTCATCATTGCTTTCCTTATCCTGCATTTTCTGATCATCTTCTGAATCTGCATCTTTTCTCTGCTACTTTCCTCTACAGCACCTTACCCACAGGGGCCTAGGATTTACCTGTGTCCCAGCTCCCCCTCTCTCTCTTGTGGTTCCCTTCATCTTAAAAAGTCCTGTCTCCTCCTCTCGGAGTCTAGCCTTCCCCCTCATCACTCTAGCCTTGTCAGCCCAGTTCTGAGGAAAAGTGTTTCTTTCAGTGAAGAGCTGTTCCTGGCTGCTTCTGGTAGGATCACATTATGTCAGCTTTTTAATCCCTTTATTTTAAATCACTTTTAAAATGATTAATTATTTCATATTGTAAAGAAGTATTGGGTGTTTTATACAGGGCATACTTCTTATTTTTCTTATTGGTGGACAGAGTTAAATGATTAGAATGATCGTGAGGATGTGATTGAGGATTACTTGATGGATAATTATGAATATTCTGCTGAAATTATTTTATATACTAAAAAATTATATGTCTGAGGACATAGATCTGTATATTTCCAATGATTATTAGGTTCTCATTACTAGAGTTTCTGTTTTAGATGCTTTACTTTCTTTCCCTTCACACCAACTCCATTCACTTTGGACCTGCACCATCATGTTGCTAAGCCATATGGTTACATTAGTAAATTATTGTTTGAATCAGTTTAAGTCTCATTTTGGTGGTATTCTTTCATTATCCATTTTTTTTCTGTCCATTGCATTAATTTTCAAATTATTCTGCTGTATTTTCTTATGTTTTATCTCTACAAGATTACATTTTATTTTATGGCTTTCAGTATGCTTCATATAAAGATCTTAGTTTCATTTCTATGTTTAGTATTGTATAGTCTCTCAAAATCATGTTTGGGTTACTAAAAGAAAAATACGTTTCTTTTTTATTTTTAAAGAACAGAATGGGACTATACACATGCTAACATTTGTTTCCTTATCCAAGAACAGCTAAAAATGTAAAGGTAAATTAGTTCCTTTTTGAAGTCATTGCAGTAAATCTGACTGTATGTATCTTCAGTTTTGAAAAGGTGGGATTGAACTGTTAATTCCAGTCTGTAGAGTGTTAGTTTCTCACCTATCCCCTGCTTTCTATAATTCTTTGACCATAATTGGTCTATTGGTATTATCAAAAGAATAAAATTAAAGTAGGGAAAGAAATGAAAAATTAAGTCTTTAAAAAAATACATCTAAGAGCTTGGGAAATATTCTTTCATCCATAACTATGTACATTTGTGATGTGTCTATTATATGTCTGTGATTTTTACTTTTTAAAAATACTTTTATGTTGGTTTTTACAAATGATTATTAAAAATTATGAATGTTAATAGTGTTTTGTCATGAACGATATATTTAGGAATGGGAAGTTATCAGAAAATAGATACAACTATATTTCAAAATTGCCTAAAACTCATGCTCTTTAGAGAATTTTGGAATATTTTAAGTGAGCACAATTAGTGCTTATCCTCTCTGTATTTACTTTTAAACATTCTTTTAGTATTCTTAAATTGTTAGCATAGCGAGGGACGGTTGATCCTTGAACAACACACCCCTGGACAAGCTGACATAAACTTATAACTTCTGATTCCCCAAAGTGTAACTATTAATAGCTTATTTTTGACTGGAAGCCTTATTAATAACATAAATAATTGATTAACACGTATTTTGTACATATGTATTATATACTGTATTCTTGCAGTGAAATAGGCTAGAGGAAAGAGAATGTCATTAAGAAAATCATAAGGAAGAGGAAGTACACTTACAGTACTCTACTGTATTTACTGGAAAAAAATCCACGTGTAAGTGAACCCGTGCAGTTCAAATCCATGTTGTTCAAGGCTCACTGTAATTGGTAATATCTTGGTTATTTTATATTAGAAGACTCAACTTTTCAAAGTTGACTATTATACAAAAATTCATCACATTACCATAATTAAAAAAATAAGGTTTAGAACAAATTGAGTCTAGAACCAATGGTGATCAGTATGGCTTTGACATCTTGCTTCTAAAGAAAACTTTGTGAATAAAATTGAGTAAAATACATGCTATATGAAGTACTTTAAAGTTTGGATCATTTTAATAGATTTCGACTCATGATATTTATGAAGATGAATGCAATTGAAACTTTGTTTCTATAGCTGTTTTCTGGTTGTTATTTATGTACCAATGTTCTGTAGGAATGGGAAGTGGTAGTGCTGGAAAAGAAGGGGGGCCGTTTAAAGCTCTTTTAAGACAACAGACTCAGTCAGCACTGGAACAAAGGGTAAGAGTTGCTCAACATTCTTTATTCTTAAACTGTTAATGTGTTTTTTAGTATGCTTCCATGCATTTTTAACTTACTTCCATAAGCTAGTTTTGATCATGTACCTATAATGTAATTTTGCAGTCCATAATTTATTTAAGGTATCAAAGTAATTTGTTTATGAATAATTACTTTTAATTTGGAATAGTTCTGTAACTTTTTTGTTTTGTCCTCCAGTCTTTTATTAGAAATAGTCTATTTGGAAATATCCATTGAATGATGAAGTCATTTCTAATTTTGCATTAAAATTATAGTATATAAAAGGAAATAGAGTTTTCTCAGAAATAATATTTTAGTTGTATTATATTAAAATAATTCTTTAATATATTAATATGTTTATATGCTAAAATTATTCTTATGGCTGGCCAATCTCTTAGGGGTAAAAAATGCACAGATTCGTATTTCTACAGATTAACCTAAACATTGTGGTTATTTGGTATGTGAATACATCTCTTTAATTATTATAAGTTTAATGTTTAATTAACAATGTTAAATGGGAAAATGAATAGTTAAAATTTTTGGATGATTTTTCTCTTTTTATTTTTTGTTTTTTGTATAAACTTCATTGCTAAGGGAGGATCGCCTCATAGGTTCTGTAGAAGGCGGGTATGTTTCTGAACATGTGTGAGAGCCTGTTTCTTGTATTGGTAGCTTTTCTAGTTTTAATCTTGATCATTTAAGTTTTATTTAAGCTTTAACAAATGTTGCCAGCTTTTTTTCTTTCTGTAATGCAATTTTAAAAAATTTATCAGCACTATGAGGCTCATTTTTTTTCTCTTTAATGCAGTGCATGATTACTTATATGTTATGTCAGTTATTTTAAGGCATAGTTCATAGCTTTCATTGTGTCTGATTTGGAAGTTATAAGCATTTATAGAATTTTCTTTTACATGTTCCATTTTATACTAGTATTACAAAAAAAAGATAAAACATAGTAAATACCTACAAAAGAATGCATTCTATAAAACACAGGTATTTCTTCTCTAGAGTTTAGCTTTTGAGAATAGTTTTTTTTCAGATCCTATTATTACAAACAATATAACAACTTCTTTTTTAGACTTTTTTTAGACTTTCTTTCCTGTGCTGGAAGTACCTGTATGCACTGTTTGCCCTTTAGACAAGGCTAGGGAAGAGGAGAGCTGAGCTAAGCAGAAGGATGAGACTTTAGCTGCACACAGTTGTTTGCTTTGTACCTATCAGGCAGCAATTGCCTTTGAGCTACTTTCACACCTTGCAGGCATACCAGCTACTACTCTCCTGCAAAAGCCCACTTAACCATTCAAACCATTTGTTAAAACCAAATATAGAAAAAGACTAGAAACACGGAGAAGAGGGTCAGAGTGAAGGTGTGCGTGTTCACTTCTCATTTTTTTAGGCTAGAATGCTCTTCCTCCTCCCCCACTCCCAGTATTACACTCTCTACAGAGTCCCTTACACAAGGAGCATTTCCTGTAATTATCGTTCTAGAATTCACAAGAACAGAAAAATTTGGGTTGCCTTGATGTTTGATGTGAGATTTTGCCTGTATGTTGTGCCTGTGACTTCATTATCTATATTAGGAACTTTTGAAAACACCTAGCTTTAAAAGAAAAGAAAATACTAATCAGTTAAAACTATTTTAGATTTAGTTTGGATAAAATTTATGTTTTCAAATATGGTTTTAAACATTCTTAAAGTTTTGGACACATTACTACATGAGGCATACATTATTAGATACTCTTCATGGAATTAATGGTAAAGATGTGGGAAAACTCTAGTTTTCATTTACAACTTTGTAAAACCTGAGTTGGCAATATATTTATGTTACCTAACCCTGCAGTAGTCACTTGAGTTTAGGAAACTACCTCTCTATCCTGGGTATATAAAAAAATAGAACAAGCATTATGATCTTTAGCTTTCCTAAAAAGCTGTGGCTACCACTAGTATGTATGTCTTTGTTTTGGGAAAGATTTGTACAGAAGTATGAAGAATTCTCCCCATATGAGTTCAGATATGCCTTAACTCTGCCAACTTGAATACTAGATCAAATTGCACATATGATATACCATTTTTTATATTCATTTTTAAAATATTCTTTTCTACCCTTTGCCACCCTTAATAAATTGTATGGCTTTTTTTTTTTTTCTTGAGAAACTTTGTCCAGCATCTTTTATTTAATGAGTTATTCAAGTAGCAGTTATCAAAAATAAAAATGTTATCTTTTTTCTTTCACAAAATCAGTAAAAAATAACTTGACAAGATCTTGGTGATAGGTGTCAGATTACTAGGAGATAAGATATAGAGATAAAAGTTTTATTTAAATTTAGGTTCTACCTATGAACTATTTGATGTAAAGCAAATAGATTTATTTTTCAGTATGACTCTTCTTTCACCTCTAGGAAAAATGAAGTTACTTTTCAGATGCTGAGATGTATATTTTTCTTCAGTAAAGAAACCTAGTTGACTTGGTTTAACCTAGTATTTCCAAATATAGTTTACAATAGAATATTCCACTTAAAATACCTGCTAGTGAGGAACATACTTTGGGAAACATTGATATAAAGCAAACTCTTTTGATAAATTATGATCTTTGCAAAAGTTGAGTAAAATTATGCAATAAATCATAGTAGGAACCTGGCATGGGGTTTTATTGACCAAGGTATCTCAGGATAATAAAAAATATATTTGATAAAAAATAAATGATTTAAATATATTTTAAGAAAAATCCTATTTAAATGTTAAAAAATTATTCCTATTGTGTTTCCAGATTTTCCAACTAGCCTGTCTTTGGACACATAGTATTAAATAGATTTATACTGTATGCACTTGGCTTATGTCAAAATATCAACATATGAATTCTTACCTAGGTAGCACAAGGGAAGGCACTTTAAATATTAGGACTCTTCAGAGAAAACGTCTTCTGTGGTCTCTGAGCAGGGGAGGGGCAGAGAGAGAGAGAGAGACACACAGAATCCAAACCAGGCTCCAGGCTCTGAGCTGTCAGCACAGAGCCTGATGTAGGGCTCAAACTCACCAACCGTGAGATCATTACCTGAGCCGAAGTCATATGCTTAACTGTTAAGTCAGGCACTTCCAGGCGCCCCAGAAGCTGTTCTTTTCAATGGAACAAAACCTATAAATTCATCAGGTGTTATGATAGACTAGAGATTAAAACCAGCTCCTTGCCTCACTGTTTTAATAAAAAATGACAAGAAGCCATATGATAAGATTTGTTGCTCGTGTAGAGTCTAGGCCCTCTTAACTCTTACTTTAGGGTGTGGGAAAGATTATAAAGCATAATTTTAAGATACTTTGCAGAGGGCTGGCACTTTGTAAGTATGCCATAGTAGTCACTGGTGATGGGGGTGGAGATGATAGGTATTTAACAGTCCTCTGTAGGTTCATCTGTAGTTCTTATGAGAGAGTTATCTAAAAATGTCATTTTGGTTCCATAACAATGCCATTTTTTTTTTACGCCAGGTTAAATATTGGGTGTTAGAGTAGGTGTGCTGATTGGATCAACTGGGGACGTGTAGGAGAGTTTAAATTGGCAGAGTGGGTGTCCATGTCTTTGGGCAGCCGTTCCCCTACTTTTTCTGCTATGACCACCAGCTCTAGTATGATGCTTTCCCTCTTATCCCTTTATCTGTCTTCTGGAATTTGGGAGAAGAGTCAGAATCTCAAGTAGAAAAATCATTTAGGTTCATTTTTATACTTCTCTAAATTCTTTTTTGTTTTTTTGAAGTTATTTTTAAAAAATTATTTTTATTTTTACTTTTATTTTGAGAGAGAGGGCATGAGCAAGGGAGAGGCAGAAAGAGAGGGGAAGAGATAGAATCCCAAGCAGGCTGTACCCAATATGGGGCTTGAACTCACGAACTGTGAGATCATGACCTGAGCCAAAATCAAGAGTCGGATGCTTACCCGACTCAGCCTCAGGCACCTCTTACCTAAATTCTTATATGCACATGTTTTCTAATATGTCAATTTACCTAACTTATTTCTTAGTTTTAGAAGGAAGTACAGCTTTTCATGTAGCTTATAAAAATTTTATTTCCAGTGCCTCTTGTCCAGAATATTCAAAGTGTTTAAGTATAAAGATTAAATGCAAAGTGTTTTTTTTTATACTTTGACCTCAGTATTTTGAGAAAATTTAAAAACTGTGTACTTAAAGTTGAAAAACAAAAATCCTAGAGGCCTAAATACTTAAAATACTTAAATTTCTCATAGCGTAAGTTTACTTATATATTTCCCATTTAAAACTTACATTTAAAAAGTTCAATTGGAAGTAAGGAGGTATTTTGACTAAACATTTTATAGTAATGTAATTGAAGTTCTCCTATCTTTTCATGGTTTTCCTTTTGCCTATCAGGTGGGCCAAACCTATCCATTTCCATAGATTGATTTTTAGTTTTTTTTAATGTAGCCTAAGTTTTTCTTACCCTTGTTAATTTAAAGATTCCTTACAAATTCTGTCTGAATTTATTTCTAAATTCATGTGTGTCTATAGATATAGACACATATGTATATATGTATTTTATACTATATCTTAATGGGTTACTGAAGTGTGCAGGACTGTTTGCCTTTGTGCTAAATGACTCCAAGTTGCTGTGCTTTGTGAATTATGCTTTGGTGAGTTTGTATTCTCCATGCTTTAAGCACTCAGTCGGTACTTGCTGCTTTTAATGTGCTTGCTTCTAGTAGTACTCTGTATCTCTTTATCTCCCAGCTTTCATTTGCTGCATTTAATCTGCTGTTGTCCAGAAAAAAAAGATACTGATAGATTTTAAAATACGTTCCTATAATTGTATATTTATAATAACTGTATGTCATAGTATGGATATGATCTATAGGGATCTCTTATGAATCAAATACATAACCTTTAGTACTTGGAACGATAACAGTTCTTTTTTGACTGTTGAGAGTTCTGGTTGGCTTATTTTCCAGTTCTAAATTATGTTCTGAATAGCTGAGGCTACTGGTAAGTGATTTCTGTTTAAGTGATTTATGTTAATCTTGTAGCCATTTGAGTTGGATACTAATTTTCCTTTTCTTGCATCCAGTTTGTGTAATATGAGATGCCTCCATATTTGGAGAGCCACTGGAGCTCCCCTTTCTTCCTGGTGCTATTTCAATGTATTTCCTTTCTCTACCATTTCTCTCTTGCCTCTGTATTGATGAGATTGAAAGATATCCCTGAGAGAGAAGGGGAGAATAAAACTTGGAAGAACTTGTGGAATTTTATTGCCTCCCTTGCTGTCATCTGCATACTTCTCCCTTTTCCTTAATATACATTTGTGTACTTAAGTTTTCTCCTGCTGCTCGTTGTTGATAGAGTAAATAATCTCACACAGTGATTCTCTGCCCACTTCAACTTGGTATTTGTCCTTCACTTTTCTGTGAATCTCTTAACCCACACTGCACATTCTCTCACTCCTCCTTCAGTCCCACATTCTTGTAGATCTCTTGCACCAGTCCTTCAGAGTCTTTACCAGTAGCCTGGAATTGGGTGTGTGTATGTGAGGAGGTGTCTGCCCCACTGCAAAGCAGACCCGAAGTAGAAGGGCAGGGGAATCCCCTCATCTCACTGTGATTTTTGCATCAGTGTAAGAGATTGAGAGAAAGGAAGAGTGTGTTCACATATCTCAAACTGGAACTCTGAGAACCTTTTTTCTTTTTTTTTCCTCATTGAGAATTGATAAGAAGAGTGTTTGGATTCTGTGTAACATGATATATATATATATGGGAAAATGGATTAGGAACTCCAAACATCCAAGGAAACTTTTAATTACAAAGCATGAGTGAGATATAACTGGTAGCCTTTTGTTAACGGATAGAATTCATATCTCACAATATGCATATAATCTAAAGGGGTCAGGCTTTTTAACAAGCACATTTTTTGTACTTTGCACATGGTCAGTTATATTTTTCCCCCATTCTTTCTACTAGGAATTTCCATTTTTTACCTTGACGGCATTTCCTCCTGGATTTCTCGTGCATGTTGGGGGTGTTGTTAGTGCACGTTCTGTGAAGCTTTTGGACCGCATCCACAATCCTGGTATGTTCTTTAAGAGTTTGTTTTCAGTGTTTCATTTGCTTTAACTGTGGTTATTAAAATTGATTTTTATAGTTTTAAAGAATCAAATCTATCTGAAAAGAGAAATGAAAATGAAAGTATAAACTGGCACATGTTGCTTTAAGTATTTCTAGTAATCTTAATTAAAAATAATCAAATAAGTAGAAGTACATTTTAGTTGCTTTTTTATATAAAACAAATTTTGATTCATTTTTGGCCTAGTTAACACTTTGAGGGAATCCTTAAATTAACTTCTGAGTCTGCTATTTGACCCAGATAATAAATTTTTTACAGTTTGACAATTGCAGCCCTTATCTTAAGATGTTAATTGTTTTCATTAGCAGTAACTCTTTGTGGATTATTTTAGTAATTTCCTTATTCCTAAAAGCAAGTGTTCTTTTGAAATTTAATTGTAAACATTGTGTATTGTCTAAGAATTAAAAAAAAAAAGTGCTGTCTGCTTTCTCGTAGAGAAAAGACCTCTTTTCTGTAGCTATTTGTTCTATATAAGCAAACAGGTAAGAAGAGTAGGCCACTTCTTTTAAAACATGGGGCCATGATTGTAAAAGAAAGGCCTCAAACCAGTCTCAGTTTCAGGCCCTTGGATTAGGAATGCTTTGGTGGTTTTTCTGAATATAAAATAAGCATGAAAAGTGTGGTAGAAATTTTCTGTTTGGAGCGTTTTCTTGCATCTCTCATTGACTGGATTCCCATAACTCATTCAAGCCACTTATTATTTTGATGATATACCTTAGACCTAAGTTATGTTAGTATTCTTATTTGGCACATATGCATACATGCTTTTGAAAATTTTGAATTGTCACTTCCAATAACCTCTTCCTGAGGCTTGTACTGACAGCTACAAAAGGAATAAAATGCTTTGAAACTATTTTATGTGAAACATTGCTGATAGTGATTTTGAGGATACAGAGCATTACCATCCTTTTAAATTAAAAAAGAAAAAGTTAATGCAGTTTTTTTTTAATTAAAAAAGCAGTAAAAGTGGTTTGATGTCATTTGAGTTAATAGTTGTAGAGAAACAGAATGGAATTTTTTCCAGACCCTGAATGAGATTTTAGGAGAGCAATAGTAGCTAGGATTATTTAACTCTGAAGCTGAACAAATACATACTTTAAGCATTAGTCTTCTCTCTTTCTTCTCTGGTTTATTATTTTTTTTCCGATGTTCCTTATTTTTTCTGGCCAGTTTGAGGTCTTTTCTTAACGTAGTATTGTATATTCTGCAGTAATTAAAGGCATTCTATATATGAATGATGCCAGTTTAATGTATTGAGACATTGAAGACACTGCAAGTTCCGTATCTTTGTGTTTGGGAACTTGAATTATTTCGAAAGTGCAAGGAAATACTGAGTTAATATACCTGACATTAACTGTGTGACCCAAGGCTTGTTACCTGTGTTTCTATGTACCATTGACTCAAATATTTTGATAGCTGGCACCCACTCATAAGCTCCAAACATGGTTTCAGGAGTATATTTAACTGTTGGTGATATCTTCTGTTTACTGAAAACATTTTTATTTTATTGTTGCTTCCATGTACTCTGAGTAAGCTATAGAGTCTGGGAGAACAAACAAGGGTTATTTAAATAAGTTAAGTAAAGAGCTATATTTAAAATCACATTGCTTTTTACAACAAACTCTTTTTTACGGTTTATCATACTTGCCAGTTTATTCTAGTGGTGTGAGAAATGTAAGAATCCAGGCCCAGGGAAGAAAACAGTATTCCTTATTACAGAATATAATTTGTGTATTGTAATTATCAGCTTACGCATTCTCTTCCTTTCCTTCCCTTTCAGAAATTTTTTCAATTCACATGAAAATTCAAAAATTTTCAGTTACTAATATGCTGTTTCCCAAAAGGTTATGGGCATAGATATATAAATGCTCTTTCATGATATATAAGCTATATTTTAATTTTGTTTTATTTTCAGTTAAATACAAATCAGCTATATTTCTAATGGTTTCAATATTACATTGTTTTGATATAAATACACATTTTTGGGGTTGTTTTATGTAGGTATTATGCATTAAAAAAGGACATTTTCTTAAGAACTTTTTTTAATGTTCTTAATGTTTCATAATTATTTATGAAAAGGATTTAATTTGTTGAAAAACGCTGAATGTTGAAACAAAAAGAACCTAGATTAGCATCTACCATGATGATGATGTATTAATTTTATGACACTGAGTTACTCTGCTGAGAGAAACTTACAATGGATTGAAATGCATGTGCTAATGTTAAAAGTGCTGTATTTGCACTCTCAAATCAATCTTGCAGTTATTTTTTGACTAGTGAGTACGGGAAATTTTCATTTTACACTGAGTGTAGAAGGAAAAAAAATCTTATTTTAAAACCACTACCACCTGCTACTATGGATTATTATCTTGGAGTTCTTTTAGAATTTTCTCCTTTGTTAAATATTAAGCAAACATGATATATACAACAAGGAAAAGAATGGGGTGGTTTTAAAAATCAAGGTCATTATCTCAAACAATTAGACTTTAGTTAATGTTAGATTATGATAGCATGCTCCTTCTTCTCTTTCTATTTCTACTTCTTATTAACTCTGCTGTCTGTGTCTTTCCAGTTCCTGTCAAGTGGTATTGTCAATTGTGTTCTTGTTTGTAGTGTTCTTTTTTTTTGTTTTGTTTTTTTCCTACTATTCTGCACCTAAAACTGATCTACTAATTTGCTGTTTTGAACTCAGCCTTTGTCGGAATTATGGGTAACACAAGATCTTACAAACTGCTAGACTGGAATAGTTTCAATTCAGGTATTTTGATGGTCATTCAGTACTACATATGCTGACAAAAATTATGGCAGCTCAGTGAAGTTTTTAGAAATGTTCTAGATTAAATAGATTTAATATCAATTCAGTTATACAGACACATTCTGCAGTACATATGTTATAACTCTTACAGTTCCCATGGAAATGCAAATATAAAAATGTGTTAACTAAAATGAATTAACCAAAACCATAGAAATACCATAAATTATAAATGGCTTATGTTAGGTAATTAGCTTTCAGAATGCTAAATTTAAATTATATTTATTACATTTTGGATAGTTTCTTCATATAAGGTAAATGAGATAGACATTAGCTTTATGATTAAAGAAATATTAATTGTTAAATATTAGTATTAAATGGCTAGACTTGATAAACTTAAAGTATGTTTAAACTTTATTTAGGTTTGAATATATTTAGTATTCCATAAATACTATGAAAGTACAACTATTACCATTTTTTTTATAATTCTAGAAATGTTTCAAAATTTGGCAAGTAAGAAATTTTGGGGGGGATGAACAGCTTTCATGAGCTCCCTTCCTTCCCCTTCCATGTGAGAATATAATTTTCTTTTTAAGTAATTTTACTTGTGGATATAGTTTGTAGCTTTTAGAGAAACTAAGATAACCTTACAGCTGATGATGTGGTTTAGAGTCAAAGCCAATTTTTCTTTTTGATAAAAGCATATTCTCTTAATATAAATATCTAAATTTTTATGTTACTTGTGGAATTAAATAATGGAACCATTTTGATTCAGTATCAGAAGCTGGTATTTTGCCTAAAGAATTTTACCAGTTCTTTGTGTCAGAAAGTATATCTATTTACAGAGAAACAAAGACACTAAGAGGCTCACCTTTTAGATAATATCCCATAATCTTTTCAATATTGTAAACTTTTTTGTTCTTAGGAGCCCAGGATGTAAGTTCTGATGTAAGTAACACATGTTCGACTCTGAAGTAACTCATGTTAATCATGCAGATTTACCTAAGTTCAGTCTAGTAAACAATCTGATAAGGTCCAATCTTTGCAGACTATCAATTGGTAAGTCGTCAGGGAAATTACCTCTATTTCCTGTCCAAGTTTTTGCCAGTATATTATCACACTGATTAAAATTAAAATAATAATTTTGAATGGAATATGTTATACTTGGTTTTTAGTGGGAAAAATACCCTGCTGGATTCATTTAATAAACATAATATATTTTTAAAAATTAAGCAGATTAGTGAATAGGAAGAGAAAAAGCCTAATTATGTAGGGAAAGGACATTGGGAACAGAGTGATCATTAATAATTTAAGGAGCTTAAAATTTGTCAGGGCAAACATGTTTAGAGTGAGATGTGTGTTAGATGATAGAACAGTCTTGGAAAGTAGAAAAGCAGTTAAATCTTATAGCTCTAATAACTTTGTTGCCTGTAAGCAGAATTACAGAATTTGGCAAGGAGAAACACGGTTGAGGAAAGAGTATATCTTGCCATCATTTAAAATAAAGTCAGGTAGTAAGTGTATGAAAAAAAGATGGATATGAATTACAGAAATATTAAAAGAACATAAGGGACACCTGGCTCAGTCAGTAGAGCATGTGACTCTTGATCTTGGGGTTGTGAGTTTGAGCCCCTGTTCGGTGCAGAGATTATTTTAAAATCTTAAAGAAAAAAAAAAAAAGATAAGATGACACTTTCAGTTTAATGTTCTCATAGTTCTGTGCTTTTGACTAAGATATTAGAATCTTTATGGTAGTGGAACATACTCAGAAGTCAGACTGATTTTCATATTAGTTTAGGAAAAATAATATAATTCTGAACAAAAATATGATAAATGTATTCAAATCATTTATGTATTCTTCTCTGTACTTAGGGAATATTTAGCCATTATTATCCTATATTACTGTAGAAAATCAATAATTGGCCACATCAGTAAAAAAAAAATAATTGTTGATATAATTTTTATTAATGTGAGAAATTATTCATCAATATTGTATTTCCTGGATTCTCTGACACCATTTATTATGTAAGGTATCATCAATTAATGATAGCTTCCCAAGAGGAAAGAGAAGGAAATACTACCATGTTAAATATATTAACTATTAGACATTCTTATTTCAGAAACATTAAAATGTGGAAAGATATAGGAAAACATTTTTAATCACACAATAGTATCTCATGAAATATGATATGCAAGCATTTATTAGAGTTTATTTTGTGCCAGTTTGCTAGATGATAGGTGTGCAAAGATGCCAGTAACCCTGTTTTCACAAAAAGGTCATATTCTGGGAGATTAGAAAAACATGTTAATGGTTTATTGTGTGGTGTGGTGTGGGTGTGTGGTGTGGTGTGATGTGATACAAGGTACAGAACTAAAGAGGACAGCATAAAGTAACTATGTGGCAGGGAAGCGTGGAGATATAATTCTTGAGCTCAGTTTGAAGGATGTATAAGAGATTAACATTTACACTTCAGACAGTGTATTTGGAGGTATGTTGTTACATCCTTTTAATGTAGTTCTGAAACTTTAGCACTGTGTTACAAAACAATATCCTAGCCATTACTTGTTTGATATTTACATAGTTACTTCATACTATTGTTTGACATTGAATACAGAATGTCTTGGTTAGTTCAGCTTTTTTGTGTGTGTCCTTTTTTCTACTGCTTTGCTGTCCTAGGTTGTGTTAACTACAGTGATAGAAAATATTTTTATGGAGCAGGAAGAAGGAAAAAAAAAAACTTCAATTATCTGAGAATTTATTTTAAAATTACAGTATTATCTTTTCTTATCTTCCTTCTTATGTTTCTGGCTTGGTAACAGACTTTGAGAAAGACAAGATGAATCTTGCTGCTAGGAAGGAGGAGACACCGTGTGCAAATCTTGTATTGTGACATGCCAGGAACAGGGCCGGCATAGGAATAAGACAGGGTATCCAATGGTTACATTTGTATTAGATCATTGATTATAGCATGGAGAATGGATTTATTAAAAAAAATTTTTTTTAACGTTTATTTATTTTTGAGACAGAGAGAGGCAGAGCATGAACGGGGGAGGGTCAGAGAGAGGGAGACACAGAATCTGAAACAGGCTTCAGGCTCTGAGCTGGCAGCACAGAGCCCGATGCGGGGCTCGAACTCACAGACCGCGAGATCATGACCTGAACTGAAGTCGGCCGCTTAACCGACTGAGCCACCCAGGCACCCCTGGAGAATGGATTTAAAGGCAGCAGGACTAGAGATAGGGAGGCTAGTTAGTTGACTGTAGTATTTCTGGCCAGATGAGTGACCTAGGATTTGGTGGTGATAGGAGAGCTAAAGTTTATAGAGCACTTACTGTGTGCCCAGCACTCTTCTAAGTGCTTTATGGTAGTAGGTCATTCAGTTCTCAAAACACAGCTCTGAGGTAGACATTTTTCCTATTTTGTGGATGAGCAAAATGAAACAATAATTTTCCTAAAGTAAAATAGGTAGTTGTTGGGCTACAACATGAACCTAACTACTCTGGCTTCAGGGCTTACACTCTTAACCATAAATTTGTAAATATTTTAAATGTAAAATCAGCAGGACTTGGTCATTAGTAAAATGTGGCAAGTGAAATTGTCTCTTGGCAACTTTGAGCTGAGAGAGAGATTAGGATTATCCTACACAGCTATAAGTCTAAAGCCCCAGTGAGCGTTTGCGTCCTATCTTTTGGAAACCCAAGTCTGTTTGAAAGTTGAGTTAAAAAAATATTTTCAGAGTAGATTTTAAAAGTCTTAGCTCGGGGCGCCTGGGTGGCGCAGTCGGATAAGCGTCCGACTTCAGCCAGGTCACGATCTCGCGGTCTGTGAGTTCGAGCCCCTCATCAGGCTCTGGGCTGATGGCTCGGAGCCTGGAGCCTGTTTCCGATTCTGTGTCTCCCTCTCTCTCTGCCCCTCCCCCGTTCATGCTCTGTCTCTCTCTGTCCCAAAAATAAATAAACGTTGAAAAAAAAAGTCTTAGCTCATTGTCTCTCAATGCCTATGATCTCTTTTTTCTCTCTTCTGAGTTTACCACTGAAAGTATTTCTGGATAGAGTACAGATATAATTTTTAATTAGCAATAGCCTCAGTGTAGTTGATGAAAATTTGTTATTCTTTTTTTATATAGGATGCATGTGAGCTTAGATATTTTATCGGGAAGCAACAAGAGGAAATATAAAATAGATATATAATGTGGTTTGAAAAGTACTAGTTTGAAAGAGCTTCCAAACTTAGACAATATTTTTAAGAGTGAATGTTTCAAGTACTGAGTTAGTAAAACAGTTTGTTTAAAACTAGATAACTTTTGTTTTTGAGAATATTTTAGAAGTTTTATTATTTAAAAAAGATTTTTAAGTTTATTTATTTATTTTGAGAGAGAGACAGAGCGAGCAGGGGAGGGACAGAGAGAGAAGGAGAGAGAATCCAAAGCAGGCTCCGCGCTGGCAGTGTGGAGCCCCATGACGGACTCAAACTCATGAACCGTGAGATCATGACCTGAGCCGAAATCAAGAGTCCGATACTCAATCGACTGAGCCACACGGGCACCACTATTTTATTATTTTAGATTGTAGATTTTTGAACGTATTATACTTAAGATTTTCTCAATCTTATAATAAATGAACTTTTGCTAGTGCTAAGGAAAGCTTTAGATTAGTGGTCTGAATTTAGAAAATGTTACTCTTTTTTGTTACTCATCTGAATTGTAATTGTTTAGAATATTTACTTTGGGGGCGATAATAATCAAAACCAAGAAAAAGAAGTGTAATTATTACTTTAAACATTTTATATGCTTTAAACATATTCAAAATGTGAGTCAACCAATGTGTAGGGAAATATTTATAGAATATATCAATCTGATAATCTAATTTTTTTTTCAGTTGTAAGTAAAAATCTTTTATTCATGGATGTTCGTGGTGTGCCTACCATGTCTTGAACATGATGTTGGATATTGGGAACACGATTGTTCAGCCGGGCAGACACCCTGTTTGCACAGCCAATCTAGGCT